GGTGGGAGGACCGAGATTAGAAATCAAAGATTGTACTATGGAGAAGCAAGTCTTTAAAATGGTGAAACGTCTTCATAAATTTCAGATCTAAAGAATTCTGGTGTAACAGCCAGTTTACAATTGGTTGCTACTTAGTTTTCCTTCAAGGCTCCTAGGAGTTAAAATTCTGCTAAATGAAATTAAGAATGATGAAAAAAAGAAAAAGGCTTATGACAAAATCTGAACGAACAAGTTACAGAGTGGGGCACCTGGGTGGCTCAGTCGGTTAGGTGTCCAACTTCGGCACAGGTCGTGATCTCCCGGTTTGTGGGTCCAAGCCCCACATTGGGATCTGTGCCGACAGCTCAGAGTCTGGAGCCTGCTTCGGATTCTGTGTCTCCTTCTCTCTCTGCCCCTCTCCCACTCACACTCTGTTTCTCTCTCTCTCTCAAAAATAAATAAAACATTGGGGCGCCTGGGTGGCACAGTCGGTTAAGCGTCCGACTTCAGCCAGGTCACGATCTCGCGGTCCGTGAGTTCGAGCCCCGCGTCGGGCTCTGGGCTGATGGCTCAGAGCCCGGAGCCTGTTTCCGATTCTGTGTCTCCCTCTCTCTCTGCCCCTCCCCCGTTCATGCTCTGTCTCTCTCTGTCCCAAAAATAAATAAACGTTGAAAAAAAAATTAAAGAAAAAAATAAATAAATAAAACATTAAAAGAAAAAGAAAAGGTTACAGGGGTCTGTGAAGGGAAATCTTTGGAAAGGAATTTTATGTGAAGTCAGGACTAAGGTTAAAATGAATGGGTTTTAAAAGTGTACTGTTATAAGATTGGAATTCCGTTTTTCTCTGTTAAAGACAAAGTTTTCTTGGATTGTTGGTCTGCTGCTAGTAAGAAAATGTAAACAAAGGCTTTTTTTCTTTTGTCTGCCCAGAAAACCAAAACTTATGTTTTGTCTTGATCAGGTCTTTGATTATGTTTATAGCAGCACTATCAACAAGAGCCAAAGTATGGAAAGAGCCCAAATGTCCATCAATAGATAAATGGATAAAGAAGCTCCTGCTTAGAATGTATACATACACACACACACACACACACACACACACACACACACACACACACAATGGAGTATCACTCAGCAATCAAAAAGAATGAAATCTTGCCATTTGCAACTACGTGGATGGAAATGGAGGGTATTATGCTAAGTGAAATTCATCAGTCAGAGAAAGACAAATATCATATGACTTCATTCATATGAGGACTTTAAGACACAGAACAGATGAACACAAGGGAAGGGAAACAAAAATAATATAAAACAGGGAGGGGGACAAAATAGAAGAGACTCTTAAATATGGAAAACAAACAGAGGGTTATTGGAAGGGTGCTGGGAGGGGAGATGGGCTAAATGAGTAAGGGGCACTAAGGACTCTACTCCTGAGTGTAATGCCCAAAGTTCCGAAACCTCCCACAAAAGTCCACCAGAGTCGTAAGTCAAAGCCAAGCGGCAAGGGTCGTTTATTGCAGGTTCGAACCTGGTCCTCTGCGCACTCGTCGCCAGTGACGCAAGAAGCCTTGATCAGGGTTGGTACAGCGTTTTTATAGACAGAGACAAATAGCACAGGGGAGGTTTCAAATTATGAGGGGCCTGATTAGTTGATTTTAAAGTAAGGACATTTGGGGAGCCTGAGTGGCGCAGTCGGTTAAGCGTCCGACTTCAACCAGGTCACCATCTCACGGTCCGTGAGTTCGAGCCCCGCGTCGGGCTCTGGGCTGATGGCTCAGAGCCTGGAGCCTGTTTCCGATTCTGTGTCTCCCTCTCTCTCTGCCCCTCCCCCGTTCATGCTCTGTCTCTCTCTGTCCCAAAAATAAATAAACGTTGAAAAAAAAAATTTAAAGTAAGGACATTTGTTGTTCTCTGATTGGGCGTCCTTTGTCTGTCCTTTGGTGGGAAGGCTTTGTCCGTTACTTGTGGCGGGAGGAAAAAGGGGGAAGGGGGAAGGGGAGGAATGTGTTGAGCAAGCAGGTTTACAGAAGCGAGAAATGCCGGTTAGTTCATGTACAATCACTTATTCTATTACATACCAGACTACATTTAAGAAGTTTTACAACTGACTCTATTATATAGCGGGTTACATTCAGGAAAGGCCTCACAATGCTCATAGCAAACAGCAAGCAAAACAGACTTCCCAGCAATTGTATTTCTTATCAAAGATCCATAATAAGCAGAAAAGAGAACCTAGCTTTAAACTAAGGCAGGGCTGTCATTTGGATTGTTCCTTTCACTGAGATCATTGTTGCGCTATGTGCTAACTAACTTGGATGTAAATTGAGAAAATTAAATTAAATTTTAAAAAATAAGAATAAATAAATAAGAATAAAAAGATGAGACTAGGTTAAGGGAACTCAGAGCATTAAGCATAATAACATGTGCATGCCACATGGAGAACACAGAGAAAAGATAATAGAAAAGTTATTTGAAGAGATAGCTGAAAACTTCCCCAATCTGAGTAAGGAAACAGACGTCCAGTTCCAGGAATACAGAGAGCCTCAAACAAGATGAACCCAAGAAGATCCACACCCAAACACATAATTTAACTAGCAGAAATTAAAGCTATAGAGGGAATTTTAAAAGCAGCAAAGGGAGGAAAAAGTACTTACATACAAAGACCGCTACATAAGGCTATCAACTGATTTTTGAGCAGAAACTTTGTAGGCCAGAAGAGAGTGGCATGATATAATCAAAGACCTAAAAGAAACGTTGCAGCCAATACTACTCTAACCAGCAGCCACGAAAAAAATGCTCAACATCACTAATCATCAAGGAAATGCCAACTAAAACCACAATGACATATTATCTCACACATAATGGCTAATATCAAAGACACAAGAAATAACGAGTGTTGACAAAGGTGTAGAGAACCAGTTGATGGAAATGGAAATCCATACAGCCACGGTGGAAAACCATAAGGTTTATATTAAAATAGAAATACTAAACGATCCAGTCATCTGCTACTGACTTACTAAAGGAAAATAAAAACACTAATTTAAAAACAGAACAAAATTCAATGTTAAAGGAGCTAAGTTTTGCTAACAACTATATAACCCTACATATTTGCCTTTGGAATCTCTTGCCACCTTGGTTAAATAAATAATTAAGGTTTAAGTTTTCTAATAATCTGTAATCCTATTTAGGCATGTGATTTATAACTTTCTGAGGTTGTTAACACATTTCCCAGGATTTAAACTGTACATAAAGTCTTTTTAACTAGGCTTTATTTGGAATGTTAAACTTAACACTGTTAAATAATAAGCCTTGGGTTATGTTGTTTGGGTAAATACTATAACTAGTCTAGAGATCATATGCATTCCTAAAGTTTTAATACGTTTTGGTATAAGGCCATTACTTGATATTCTGATTATTCAAGTGTTATGTGTCACAGAAATAACCAGATTTCTTTGTCAGCTGTATTATAATGAACTCTCCCCAGATCTCTGTGTCCATTTTTTAGTTTATTGGTACTAAAGTTATGATACTTATCCTCTTGCAAAACATGTTTCATCTTCAAGGGGATTCATAAAAAGGGCTTTTGACAAATGCAGGTTTTTGTCATCTTTAAAATTCTAAGACTGAACTGGGTAAGAATTTCCAGGACTAAAAGGCTGCATTCAAACTGAACAAGAATTATTAACATGGGACTAAATGAATTGAGGAAGAGGATTATAATTTTTGTGACTCCCGTTTGAAACATTTCTGGTTCTTTCATGTTTGCTCTTCCAGATTAAGGAAACTTTCTCTTAAGATAATCTAGGACTTACAGAAATATGACAAACTATTCCCTTGTGAACAAATTGAAGCATTTAAATTTTCTCTCTACCTGAACCCTCCAGAATCCAAAACCCCTCAGTGAATATTCTTTCTTCCATGACAATTACAGCATTTGCATAAGTTTAATAAAAATCTGTTCTCCTTGTAATAGGACACCATCGAAAACATTGGCTATTTTATCAAGGCTTTTGACTGTAATGTCATTTTTTTAAGTTTGTTTTTTGTTTGTTTGTTTGTTTGTTTATTTAGAGAGTGAGTGAGCACAAGCGGGGGAGAGGTAGAGAGAGAGGGAGAGAGAGAGAAGCCCAAGCAGGTTCTGCACTGTCAGCATGGAGCCTGGTGCGGGGCTCGAACCATGAACCATGAGATCATGACCTGAGCTGAAACCAAGAGTCTGACGCTTAACTGACTGAGCAGCCCAGATGCCCCTGGAACGTCATACTTGAGAGACCTGCATAGACTCAGGTATGAGCAGACAGCTTTTGAGAGCTGAGATTGACTTTACAAAGCATGCAGCCAATAGAGTCCCTTGGAAATGCTGACCTGTAACCTTGCTTACAGGGTCCCCGGCAGCCTTACCAGGCGAGTAAAGACTGTCACTTCCCGGCAGGTGCAGGAACCTCAGGATGTCCTACAGAACAGGGACTATTGATCTTGTTTATTCCAGCAGCTCAGACATAAAAGATTCTCCTCTTGATAATGCAGCTGACGGTTGGCTTACTGATGGCAGTAGTTTCATGGAAAAGGAGATAAGAAGAGCCAGGTGTACAACAGTCAGTCTAATTCAGATTATTGAGGCCAAAGTGCTCCCCGCAAATAAGTCTGCCCGTAAGGTGGAGTGAATATTTCTAAATCTCTAAATACACAGGCCATATCCTCCCTACTACTGATCTGACAGTTACTAGCAACCCACCAAGTATGAACCCAGTGGACATGGTTTATTTAAAGGATTGGAAGGCTAACACAGCAAGGAATTTAACTACAAAAGGGAAGGGCCTGTACCAGGTCACATGATGTACTCCCACAGCCATAAAATTAGAAGGACATTCCTCGTGGACTCCGATCAAGAAATTAAACCTCTTGCCTTCCTCGTGGGAATCCACAGTACCAGCTAACACACCTTCTTATTCCTGTAAACCCGTGGAAGGCCTCAAACCTCTCTCCAAACAACAATGAAGAACTGGAGGAAAATTGTGGTCAACTATCAAAAGTCTTTTTTATTGGGCTTTATTCTCATAATAATATTAACCTCATTTTGTTGTCTTTTCCAGCGTCTTCCTGCCTGTTGCCAAGACTCCCTCATGCCATAACTTCCAGCCTTCAGATGACCCTTTCTACTCAAGGAAACTCGTTTATGTTTCTACCTTGGATTCAGTGGATACATCTTCCCCAACTGACCAATGTTGACCCATAGGTCCTATCTCTGTTCCCCATTCAGCAGGAAGAAGTTACAGAAGGTAAGACCTTCCACTCTCAGCAACCTTACAGACTTAAGGGTCAAAACTGTTCAGGGGGAAATGATGCGGAGAACAAAGGCAAAAGGAAATGTGGACAGAATTAAATTTCCGTGTAACTTGCAGCCCATCGACAAATACTTGAAACAGGCAGATCATGACATTCCTCCAGGAACTCTTAACTGTCTTGATGTTAATGCCTTGTTAGAGGGAAAAAACAACCTTAGCTTGATAATAGCCAGGCCTCCAGGATCCTGGAAGTCTCCTTAACATATGAAAATCCTTTTGGAAACTTCCTTTGTCTCTACACTGTCGCCCCAACTTAAAAGTGTGTAACTGATCACTCCTGACAATCCCGGGGCAGCTCTTCCTGCCCAAGAGTCCTGTCGCTGTGCTATAATAAAACCACCTTTTTTTTTACACCAAAAATGTTTCAAGAATTCTTTCTTGACCATTCGCTCCTGGCCCACATTGCATCAGAGAATGTAGCAGGATTCTCGCAGAGTTGTGGCACTGAGGCTTTTCTTTCCAGGAAACAACTTTATTCCTGCGGGCACAGGCTCAGAGAGTTTGTGCCCCAAAAATGAGCCGTGTGGTGTATCCTTTTATGCATTTCCTACTTCTTTGTCTCCCATATATGGGTAACGTATAGACTTACGTACAGACATACAGTCTGATTGAGCGGTCTCATGTCACAGGGTCACGAGGAATGTCACATAGGCACACAGCCGGTTGCCTTCCTTTATCTTGAGGTCTTTTCTCACCACATTCCTTAGGGAGGGGACTCTACCACATTGCCCCTTTGATGTTCGGACCCCCCGATTTTGGGTCAAAGGGCATCATCTTGGTTTAGAGGTTTATATTTCCATAACGTCATCACACGCGTGGCCGGTTTTCTTTCAACCATTGTCTCAGTGAGGCTGGAGATCTCAGACGGTATAACCAGGGGAGCTAGGCAAGGTAGGATTAAACAAGCTTTCAAAACCAAGAATATAATTCCCATGAGGGTTTTGAGTCCCCTGTCTCTGGCCTCCAGATGACCCACCATTCTCACTATTTGAGAGTTCTGTTCCCATCAAACACCTATTTTGCTCGGGCAAAAAAAAAAAAATACTCATTTTCCATTGTCCACTTTGTGGAATACAAACTTTCATCCCACGTTGTAGGGCTTCTCCTTTCAACTGAGCTGACTTCTCACACCCCTGACACAAAGCTCCCCTCCAAGCTGGTTGTCCCCAGCATTCCCCCCTGACCCGGTGCCCCCATGACTTTGTATGTAAGCTATTCCCTCAGCTTGCTGCACCCTCTACATTTCTTCAAGTTCTGGTTCACCTTCTCATCGGCAAATTAGGAAATTCAATCAGGTTTTATGAAAATTCAAATTTGGCTGAATACTGAAAATTCTTCAACTATACTGCTTAAGGAATTTTAAAACACGTAACCAAGAAAACTGAGAATTGAAAGGCTCACAGAATCAACATCTCGCCCAAAGCAAGAGCTGCTTCTATAGGATCCCTGACAAATCATCCCTTTCTATTTCAAGAAGGCTTGGAGGAGAAGCTTGCTCCTTCACAAACCAGCCATTGCACACTAGAAAGCTCTAGTGTTAAGGAAAGCATTAAGTATGTATGTTCACATCCCATTGTCCTTCACTCTTTGACCCTTGCTCAGCCCTCTGAAGGGACACAAAACACATCACTCTCCTTTACCTGACAGTTCGTCAAATAAAATTCTCATCTCCTCGTGATCTTTTCCAAGCCTAATTTTTTTTTTAGTTCCTCCAACCATTTTGAGATGTCAGGCCCCTCAGCAACATAGGCCATGTCTTTATTACAGTGTATACTTTGTCAATGTCCCTTTTATAAGATAGTGCCCCACAATCGAACGGTATGTCCAACATGATCTCACCATATGGAGACCGTGTTTAAACTACTTCTGTATCAGGGTGAGTTGGCTTCTCCAGCAACCTTGGCCTGCATGCTGCTTGTGTAGATGTGTTTCTACCTAACTCCCCCATCCCCAAGCCCATAAATGGCTACACAGCCAGGCCTCCCATCCAGTACTTCTACTGCTGATATTTTTTTTTTAATTTTTTTTTCAACGTTTATTTATTTTTGGGACAGAGAGAGACAGAGCATGAACGGGGGAGGGGCAGAGAGAGAGGGAGACACAGAATTGGAAAAAGGCTCCAGGCTCTGAGCCATCAGGCCAGAGCCTGACGCGGGGTTCAAACTCACGGACCGCGAGATCGTGACCTGGCTGAAGTCGGAGGCTTAACCGACTGCGCCACCCAGGTGCCCCTCTACTGCTGATATTTTTAATCAAGCTCAGGAATTTTTGTAATCTTTGCTCAATTTCATCATATTGGCATCAGCTCTCTGTTCCAGCCTGCTTGGATTTATTAACTTTCTTGCTTAGAATACCCTGTCTCATCTGTAGAAGATTCTCAAAGGCTAGATGATTTCAGCAGGTAGCAAAAGTCCTCAATAAAAGAGTTTAAAATTTAATTTCAGGCTTGAAACCCGAGTCCTATTTGTGGTACTTCTGCAAATGTGTTTTGTTGGATCGTTTAATTTTCTCACTGGGAATGGGTCAGGGTAGGAGCACATCATCCACTCTACCGGCTGCATGGGAGGTCAGTATGTATTATTCACAACGTCTGAGAGCTTTGCACACGATTATCAGGACTGTTCCTTGCATTAAAAAAAACCACCGTATAGTCTGGACTTGGACTTTTCTCTGGCCATCTAGGTGGGTGGAGCTAAACTCTTGTGGTCTGTTTTTGAGGACGCCTGGGCTGGATCTTGCTCACGTCACCAACCTCTGAACTTGGTGTAGGAGAGCTTCCCTCTCTTCGTCCTGGGAACCCCAGGTCTAGCTGGGCTCTTCTCTGAGACAGAACTCGGTAGCTTTCCAGACCTCCACAACTCCCAAGGCGAAGACCTCACCGCAACCTTAAGGGCAGGAAGCTCAGGGGTGGGGGCATGAGGAGAACACATACCTTTCAGCCCCTTCTGGAAGGTCTAGAAAGAGCCCCGTCGAGCCGTAGCTCTGACCGGAGAGACTGGAAGAGCTACCGTTTCTCTTCACGCTGTTGCCGCAGGAGGGCCAGCTTATGTGCAGCGGCCAGGAGGCCAGCAAGGGCCCGCCGAGTGCCAGGGCCCCTCGGCCACCCCAGGGCAACCCGCTGTCAGCCGGTCTTTGCATTAGGGGCTGTTAGCCCTAGATGTCAACCTAGGGATCACAGAGACCAGCACTTTTATTCCAGCGACGTGGAAACAGAGGCTCAGGGAGGTGACGTAACTTGGCTTGAAGTCGTGCCATTAGCTACATTAGCTAGAAACAGACACCGCAGCCCCGTAGTGTTACTGCCCCTACAGAGCTCTCCCCCATGTGACAAGAAGTTGTAGGATTTGTGCTGGGGACGAGCAGCGTGGCTGGTGCAGATGCCCCCTACTTTATGGGGAGGCTAATATCCTTAAGCTGACTGGAAGCATGAGTACATCCTTTCTCCAGTACGTGTTAGGCTGAAGCCTTCCATAAGAGGTTTTTTTGCTCTATCTTTGGAGGAAAAAGAGCATTCCCAGAGAAGTCCTTCCTTCTGGGAAATAGCAGAGGGCCAACAGGTTTCAAAAAGGGGTCAGCAACTGTCTTGCCAATATCCCTTCTGCGAAATCTGAAAATGGGGCTGTCCCCCTTATCAATGGGGCTCCCTCTTACCTGGAGTCTATCTCCCAGAGGGATATAGCTGCTCCTCCTGGAAATTCAAGATCTCCTGCTGCTTCTCCTTCAAGTCTTCCAAAAGCTGCTGCCATTCCCCCTTCCCAGCTCCCAGCGCTGGGATGGCGGTGGAGAGGACAACAGAGTCTCCCTCGGGCTGCAGACTTCTGTCTCCTGGGAACACTCTGGTGAGCAGAACACAGGGGCGTTTATAGTGTGGGGCCAAAGGTGGCAGGAAGAGGAGCCCAGACACATCCATAGGGACACCCAGGGAACCCAGGCCACAGGAAGACCAGTTCACGCTACAGCCGCCCAGGGAAGCAGAGCGTCCGCTCATACAGCCACGCACCCTGGGGAGTGGGGAGCCTCCACCTTTGCAACGTCTTTGATCTTCTTTCATAAGGCCTCCTTGACGTTTAGGGAAAACACCCTGGTCTTTAACATTCGCTCTTGTCTAGGTTTTCACACACCCTCTGTGCAACGTTTCACTCTTGAACTTTGCCGAAGATCAACACCAAGACTTCTCGTCTGTGGCTCTGAGACGATACCATTACCATCATTCTGAAAATGGGGACAGCTGTTCTTTCCCGGGCTTGCGGCATCTCTGTGCTCTTCATGGTTTCTCAAAGGTCACTGACAGGGACTCTGAGAATCAGGCTGCGGGGGTGTCACTCCCAGGGGAGTCTCCGGGCCTGGCAGAATGTCCTCATGGAAACCTTACGATCTCCCCCCGAGGAGGTCTGCCGAGGCTGTCCAGGCACGCAACGGTGGCTTAGTCGTGGTGCCTTCTGTCTGATCTGTTAACTCGGGGCACCGAACTTTGGTTTCTTCGCCAAGCCGTGACCTTTCTTCACATCCTCCTGCTCTGAGGTGGCTAATTTAGAAGCATCACTTGCTGTCTTTTCCCTATCCCACAAGCCTTCTTTCATTCTGGGATTAACCCTTTTGCAAACTATTCTTAGCCTTTTATGGCTATTCCATAAATATGTGTAAGTAAAAATAATTTGTTATTGCTAACATGTTGACTTGATCGAGTCCGTTAACTCTAACGTCAGCTGCCCCCAGGCCACACACCCATCCGCGGGTGCCTGTTGAATTAGACCCAGAGTTCGGAGGATTCGGGCCCCGCGAGGAGCCCGGGGGACTGGGGGGGGGGGCGGGGGGGAGGGGATACAGGGATGACAGATTGTTACCGGGAGGGACACACAGAGCTTCCGTAAAGTCTGGAAGGGCAGAACAGACACCTCACCAGTATCCAATCTGACAACTTACGATTCTGGCTATCTGAATGTTTGTGGGTTGCACCGAGGTGGTGGGTTTCCTAGAGCTGTGTCCCTGGAGCCCATGGTTGGGACCTCTCAGGAAGCAGCCCTTTCTAGGCTGAGCGTAGCCAGGGGACTTTGGGTTGGGTGTGTTTAGCTCTGCCACCTCTGCCTTCTCCTCTTTGCTTCTCCCGTTAGGGACTGGTGTGGGCAGGGAGGAAAGGAAGCGGGGAACGAGCACAACTTGTGGCTTTTACCACCTAGCTCTGGAAACGTGACTCGGCTGAACCTGAGAGGCCTGGTTTTCTTCCCTGAGGACTGTGTTCTCACAGTAAAGCTGAGACGTGGACTCCAGGCCATGACTGTAGAAGTTCACGGTGGATCCTGTCCCGGCAAGTGCGGGCAGACAAGCTACACGTTTGGGTGACGGACGCTTTCAGCAGCTGCCCATTCTGTATCTCCAGAGATATTATCCCAACCCAGAAGAAATGCCTGGGGACTCGAGGCCTGGGCACAAAGCCCGATGGGCCAAATGCCTGCTTTCTGTGTACCTCCACATAGAGGGTTCCAGGCGTGCACCACCATATGACCTACCTTCAGTTGTTCGGGAGGCTCTTTCCCCTAAATAGCTGCCGCCGTGCACAGGACGGGGTGTGTAGCTGGATGGTCTCCAAGTGACAGCAGCCTGGGGGACAGTGTGGGGACAAAGGCCACCTCAATGAGTGGCTGGGGGAGGCTCAACCGACTGAGCCACCCAGCTGCCCCTCAAATCACTTTTAATAGTGAGGGACGACAGGAGAGCCTGCACTGACCTAGGGATCTGAAGGCCGGTTAGAGAGGAGGAAGGGGCAGCCCCAAGGAAAGAAACAAGATGCAGAAAGACAAGTGGGAGGGGCACTAATGACAGGGGACACCTCCCATACCATTGTGCTGAGGGTGTGGTCTTTCTCTGACGACGACAACTGTCTTAACTGCTGGAGCTGAGCTGTGTCCAGAACCCACTCACCTGTATAGTTAACACTCTCCACTTGACGTGATGTCTCCTGGCCTTGACCAGGACAGCTGGAAGTGAGAAAGTCTGATGCAGAGGAGATGTTCACAGGGTGGGGACCTGTGTGGAAACAGCCTCCCTTTCAGCAACAACTCCTGACTGATGGAAGAATCTCCTATGGCTGTGCCTGGCATTCTGGAAGGTTCTAAGAGTGGGCTGTGAGGAAGTAGGATGCAGGGAGAGAGAAGGACGTGAATGTGAGAGCACAATGTGGGTCCCCGACTTTCCTATACCCCTCCACGGGCTGTGCAGGTGGTTCAGGCCCTACCCGAGCCCCACGGGCCTGGAGGACCCTAGCTGTGGATGCACCCGCCAAGCAGGTCAGAACAGCCAGGCACCTGGAACACAGCAAGCGTCTGGGGAGGCAAGGTCATGGGAGCTGGCCTTTGGAGCTTCAAGGCACATGCCCGTCCCCAGGCTCTACCTTCAAATTTCCTCTGAGATCAGAACTGGAAAAATCCGCCGTGCCTTGCCAGGCTGGGGCCTCACATGACGGTCGGGGTACCCTCTAAGAGACATCTGGGAGCACCGACTCACGTAGAAGAAAAAGACCCTGTAAGGCAGCCAGTCTCAATGCGGATGGACTGACGCCAGTTCAAGGCTACCACGTCAGACACAATTTCATCACGGGCGCCGTTCACTCAAGAGGCTGTTCGGGACCAGCCCCAGCTCCATAGCCACGGAGGGCTTCAGAAGTACTGGTCATGCAGGTCAGGCAGCCCAGAGGAGTGGAATCGGACAAGGGTCGGGAGAGGCTGGTTCACTGGAATGAGTTGCTGGGGGTACAAGACATCGACTTCATCTCAGGCCTTACCTACACGAAGGTGTATACTCCCCTCGAAGGCAAAGTTGGAGGAAACTGCACTTCCTTGCTAGCATCAGGCCCAAGAGACTGGCCTACGTGTCCTCCGATGAGAGAAAGCATCTGCCCTTGGCCCCTACAAAGGCATCTGCCCAACTCCGAGCTCAAATCTACACAAATGCAAGTATTCCTTTTGAAAGCAGAGCTGGAAGAAATGAGACTGCTTGCCAGCTTGGGGCCCAGCTGACTGGCTGGCATATCCTCCAGTAAGAGACACCTGGGGGCCTTGATGGCTGGAGAAGCCGGAGACCCCATCAAGCAGCTCGTCCAAATGGGGACTGACTGTCCACAGTTTAAAGCCACCACCTCGGAGATTTTCAGGGATGGACGCCCTTCACACAAAAGGCTATACATGTGGTTGGGGACAGGCCCACTCTCCAAAGGCCCCAACTGCCCAAGGCCTGCCGATGGGTGTATACTGCGTAATCCCTTCTTGCTCTGGTCACTTTAACCAGGGACTGGGACGGGGTAAGTGTTGGGAGAAGCCTGGTAACTAGAGGGGACTATTGAGCGGACAGGGCATCTGCCTAATTCCAAGCCCTAAGTTACATGAATGACCTATTCTTCAAGAAGGCACAGCTAGAGGGAACTGGATTGCCCGGGATGGTGGGGATAGCCTCTAAAAGGAGACCCCTGGGAGCCTTGGTTGCTGGAGGACCCTGGGGCCCCATCAGGCAGCCAATCCAAACGTGGTTTCACCATCGCCTATATAAATTTGCCACCTCAGAAAGATTTTCTGATGTGGGCTCTTTCTACCCAGAAGCCATTCAAGTGGGTGGGATCCTCCCCCAGCTCCACGGGCTTGGAATGCCCCCTGGTGCCCAAGTCAGGCTGGCCAGGTACACACGGTGCATGTGCAGGTCAAGAAAGCCAAGCACCAGGAACAGGGCATCTGTAGGGAAAGCCTAGGTCACTGGAACAGGCTATTCGGGGTACCTGGCAACTGCCCAGTTCCAAGCATCATGCTACAAAACGCGCACAGAATGGGAGGAAAGCACTCCACCTCGCCAGCGTCCTGCCCGGCTGACTAGCCTGGGTACACTCCAATAAAACACACAAGCCAGCCTTGACCGCTGGAGAAACCGGGCACCTCAGAGACAGTGAGGCTCAATGTGGGCCAGCTGGAACCAGTTTAAACCTGCTGCCCAACACAGACTGTAGGGCACAGGGTTCCTCTGCCCAGGAGCCTGTCAAGGTGGTTCAAGACCTTCCTGCACTTCTGCAGCTCTGGAAGAGCCCTCACTGCCCCGGGAGGCTGACGAGGGGCATAGGCAGAAACACAAGTCAGGGTGGCCAGGGACCTGGGGTCGGACAAGTGTCTGGAGAGGCCCCAGAGAAGGAGCGGGCATCAGGGGCACAAGGCCTGACTCCAGGCCCTGCCCTACACAAACGCACGTATTCCCCTGAAGGTAAATCTGCAGAAGTCTGAACCACCTTGCCAGGATGGGGCCGGACAGGCTGCCCTGGAATTGTTCACTACGAGACCGGGTGTGGCCCTGATTCCTGGGAAGCCCCCAGGGCGGGGGGTCCCGGAATCACCTGGCATCTGCCTGATCCCAAGTCCTCACTCACACAGATGTGCATACTCCCCCCGATGGTCAATCTGGAAAAGTGTGGACCGCCTTGCCAGGATGGGGTCTGCTGGGCTGCGGGAGCTCCTCCAGCAAGAGACACGTGGGAAAGCCTGGGACCCCAACAGGCCGTCAGTCCAAATGGGTATTGACTGTCACCTGTTTAAAGCGGCCAGGTCAGAAAGACTTTTTGGAGATGGGCTCCATTAGACCCAGAGGATACCCAAAAGGTTCCGGACCAACCCTAGCCCCTGGCAGACGGTAGGGGGGAGACCCCGCCCTCTGGCTAGGCTGAGGGGTGTATCCTGTTCATGCACAAGCTGCCCAGCCCAGGAAAACCAGGGACCTGGAAAGGCCTGGTCACAAGAGAAGCAGCAGGCTGTGGGGGGTACAAGGCATCTACCTAATTCCCATTTCAGCCTACGCCAGGGTGCATA